AAGATCTTTAGAAGAAGTGGGAGGATGTCAAAACAGCGGTCTTTGGATAGCATCCAAACCAGATTGAGGTTAATAGCCTTGAGGATCTCTACAATTACAATGCTATTAATTACTTCTGAATAATGCTGAGGAAGAGAGAAAAGCAATTGACATTAGACTGATTCTTTAACCCCCACAAATGAAAAAAACATGACTAATAAAAATGCAAGACTGTGTATATATGCATTTTTATTATTACATATAAATAAACATAGTAAGAAAGTATATATATTTTTTATTTTTTGGGATCTCCAGAACAAATTAATCAAATTCCCATAAAAACCTTGGTAAATCGATAATAATCGGTTAACGAACAATTCAGATAGCAAACAAAGTCTTGGAATGAATTATGTCCGTTCACTGATCACCCACTGTATATGTAGTTAGACCTTTAGCACTTTTTAGCAAAACAAAAGAAACAAATGTGTATTTTTTTCTCCATATATTTTATTTCTTTGAAATTTTTTTAAGTATGAAAATTAAATTTCTAGGAAAACTTGTAGAACTAATGTTTTTGGCATTAAAAATTGTAAATAAAAAAGTTTTGAGCCTAGCATCCATATTTTAAAGTTACAAACCACTGTGCGACATATGATCCTATATCGTGGTTGCATCAGCTAACGTTTAGAATGCGTTATATAAATTTTAATTAATTTATGAAAACATTTTTGAAAATTTTCTAGTGTTTGTTGGTTAAACTTTACCTACTTGCACCGTCATGGACGCACAGTGGGGACCCACGTTCTAATCTAACCTAGTTTACCTGTTTGTTTTCTTTTTCTTTGGAGGGTGCCAGTGCCTCTGGGTGCGCCACTGGCAAGAACTCTAATAAATATCTACAGCAGTTAAATGATATTAAATGTACTGAATCATTTGAAATGCTCCAAAACTTCAACACCTAAAATCAAATGATTTCAATAGATCTACAAGTTAAATGCTCTAATGACATGTCATCCATATCAGCTGGTATCCAATCTTGTGTTTCTGGATTTTCCAACGTGTTAAATGATATCAATTGATGTTTATAAGATTTTCTGTAATTAAGCTTATACAGTCGACTCCTCTATAAGACGGTAGATACGTTCCGTTTTTTATGAAATTGATGTTTTAGGAGACCTTGCCAATCACAGTCCGACACGTGTGAAGTTTACGGACTACGGCTATTTGAAAGGTTTTCTTCCATAAAATTAATCAATTCCTAGACTAATTCGACTCAACATTTCCAAAACACGTATATTTTTCCGTATAAACTATGCTATAAACAAAAAATTGTAGGATTACTTACCGAGTGTGCACCGTTCGACATCGCCATTTCTTAAGCTTGTTTTCGTCGCGGACCAGCGCACCAAACTGCGGCCGCGATTTCTGACGTTATTTTTCTGCGAAAACTTCGTTGAACTTTGGATACATCATTAATATAAATAATTTTTATGGTCGTTGAATAAGAAATGTTTCTTTCACAAGAAATGTATAAAATTAGTGCTGTATTAGACTTACAATACCTAACTTACATACTGTAGACCAGGGGTGAGCAACCTTTTTAATCAATGGGCCAATTTAAATTTTAAAATTTTTTGGCGGCCCCACATAAAGTAACACTTATTATTTTATTTACAAAACTTTATTTATAATAAACATTAGAATAAAAAAATATAAAATTTTAAAAAAAGTAAAAATTTCATATACAAATTGTAATGCAAAATAAAAACAAACAAGAAAAGAACAGAAAAACGAATTTACTTGAAATTTTTAATGAGAAATTTGGCACTGTTTTTTCGATACAAGCTGATCAATATCAGTCGGAATTGATGAGGTAGCTACAGGTACGCAGCTTTCTAATCGTGCATCACTCAGTCTTGATCGGTGGTCATTTTTGATTAATTACATGGTTGAAAATAATTGTTCGCAAACATACGTACTTCCGAATAGAGACGTCATTTGCTCTGCATTTTTCGTCAAAAGCGGAAATTTCTCAGGGCTCACATAAGATTTATAAAAATTTTCGATGTTTACTGAGAAAAATACATTTTTTAAATCGGTATTATTCTGCATGTCAATCACTTCCATTTGAAAGTCTTCGGGAACTGTATCCACATCGATATTAAATGGCGAGGAAAACATTTTCATGGAAACCGCTGTCTTCTCAGCTTTGAACATTTGGAATCGTAATTGAAATTCGTTGATTAAAATGTCTATATATTGTGCGTATTTTTGAGAAGTAGTAACGTTTTCTTTTTCTAAATGTGGAAAGTGAGACACATTATTCTGCAAAAGATGCTGTTTCCACAATTTTAATTTGCGCTCAAAGCCCTGAATTTTATCATACAAATTGTGAATAAACTGTCCTTTGCCTTGAAGTTCCACATTAAGATCATTGAGATGCTGAGTCATGTCGATAAGAAACCCAAAATCGCACATCCATTCTTTATTACCAAAATGAGGAAAGGCATATCCCTTCATATCCAAGAACAATTGTATTTCGCTTTTTAAGTTGTATACTCTTTTTAGCATTGCACCTCTACTAAGCCAACGTACTTCGGTATTAAAAACCACGTCGCCATATTCAGTTTCTAAATCTTTCAGGAATTCTTTAAATTCACGGTGATTTAACGCGCGCGACTTTATAAAATTGATTAGTTTAATTATTGGTACTGTGACATTTGGCAAACTCAATCTTTTCGCACACAAATTTTCCTGGTGAATTATGCAGTGGTTAACGAATATTTCCCTTCCTGTGACCTTCTTAATGTCTTGAAATAGCCTTCCCGATACTCCTACCTCCATGCTTGACATTGCTCGTGCTCCATCTGTCGATATACCAATAATCTTTTCTAATGAAATTGAAAAATTTTCCAACACAGACTTTAGTTCATCGTACAGGTCTTTGCCGGTTGTAGTCCCTTGCATTGGAATCAGTGAACACAATTCTTCGGTAATATTAAATTTGGTGTCAATACCACGTAAAAATATAGCCAGTTGTGCTGTATCGCTAATATCGCAACTCTCATCAAGTGCCAAAGAACAGTATTCGAATTTTGCAATGCGTTCACGAAGCGTTGTTGCTATGTTCTCGGACAAGTCTTCAATTCTCCTTGCAATGGTGAATCTTGATAAACTAATGTTTGAAATAATATTTATTTTATCAGGAAATGCTATTTCTGCAACAGCAGTCAGACATTCTTTTATCATCTCTCCATCCGCAAAGGGTTTCATTTTTTTTGCCAGTATTTGACTGACAACAAAACTAGCCTTTACTGCCGTATTTGATAAAATAGCTTGATTTTTAAAAATAGCCTGTTGTTTTCCCAAGTTTTTCTCCATTTGATTAAACTTATCTATCCGGAGTTGTCCTGTTAAGTTTTTATATTGTTGTTCATGTTTTGTATCGTAATGCCTTTTTATGTTATATTCTTTTAATGTCGACACAGTCTCTGAGCATATTAAGCATACAGCTTTATCTTCGACGAAAGTGAAAAAATAATCAAATTTCCACTTTTCTTGGAAATGCCTGTGCTCATCCGCAACCTTCCGTTTTTTTGTTTGCTTTTCCGACATGCTATTATGGATTAAAAATTTGAAAGTTAAAAAAATTTGTAGGAAAATTTAATTTTGAATAAAAAAAACTCTAATATTACCTTTTTGACAGTAATATTGTACTCACGCCTTTCAAGAAACAAGAATTGCTAAAATTGCTAGTTAACAGCTTACCAGTCTGACTGTGTGACAGAAGCAAACACAAACAAGCACAGACGCGGCGCGTTCGTATTGCATGTTTGAACAACTCGGCGACAAGTGAGTAACTCGTCACAAAAAATTGTTTCGGTTTAGTATGTACTACCATTTTATTATAAATAATTTTATAACAATATATTGATGGGAGAAAGTCGATAAAATAAATTCAATTTTAAAAATGCTTGGCGGGCCACATAAACATGTTTAACGGGCCGCGTGTTGCTCATCCCTGCTGTAGACGATAGTAAACTCAACTTACTCGCCTAAACTCTCCTTAGCGTGGCGCTGGACGGCGGAAAGTAGATATATAATTATAATGTTACAATAAATTAAGTTAATATATAATTATATATACAGTACCTAATTCATATATAATACTGTACAGACGATAATAAACTCAATTTACCCGTCTAAACTCTCCGTAGCGTGGCGCTGGACGGCGGAAAGTAGTTCAGCTGCCCGATGACGAATTCTAGGAGTTTTTTTTACCAGGTTTGTACGGATACCGTCGCAATTTTTTCGCCGTCATATAGGAATCCGAACTATAGGAACCCGTGTTATAGGGGGGTCAACTGTATTTATTTATGTAGTCCTAAATATTATGACAAAATGAATGAATGAATGTCATTCCATATAATAATGAATAAGAAATGGATCAGTAATCTTCATAGACTCAGTCTCATAATATATTTAAAATATTTCTCAATATTCACTTTATTTAAATTTGTTGTAATTACATGGAATATCTTATAGTATATTTACTTATATTTGTATATATAATCTGAGCTGTTCTGTTACAAGTTTATAACATGATGATAAAACAGAATTAAAGGAGTTGGTTTGCTTTGATTTGCTTATGTATTAATTTTAAATTATATTTTTCATATTATTAAATGTATTAATTACTGAAAAAATTAATTTTTATTAATAATGCAATTCAATACTATTGATATACAAAGATGCTATTGACATACATGCAAAGATGAAATGCATTTGATTAACAGTCTCTTTTATAAATATTATAATAAACAAATTTCTATTATATAAACTACCAAATGTATTATTTAATATCACATTATTTTTCAATTTTTATTCATAACTGATTTAGTATAAATATATTTATCTGTAAAAGAAATTAATATTTAAATATACATGTAGTATATTTTGTGAATTTTCCAAATATGATAAAATACAAAATTTCTACTTCACTAGAGGAGTCTATAATACATTTTTTTACTATACATAGTTTTTTTTAATTGTAATTTGAATTTATTTACAACCAAGATTATATATTATTATTACCTTCTTTTTAATTTTTATTAATACATAAAAATTTTGTACGTAGATAAAGTCAATCTCATTTTTTTCAGTGTTATTTTATTGAATTATATTCATCATCATTACAGTTGTGAAAATAATAAACAGTGTGAAAATAAAATTTATTTATTTTTTAACAAAATTAATTTAATCTGAAGCATAACCAATTTTTGTGAATGAATTGATATGTCACAAAACTTTGAATTCTGGACTCTATCATATATATCGTCTCCATCAAACATGATTTAACCAGTGTTTCTGAATTGAAGCATGGTGTCAATTCATAAGAAAAAGGCTGATATGGAACAGATACTCTTAATTCAGAGCACTTCATTTTTTCTATAAATAAAACAAAAATTATTTAAACTGATGACTGGTTGGATTAATGATATTATGAGCAATTTTGTGCATTTCTGTACATGTACAGTTCAAGAAGATAAGGATACAAACACACTGGTTTGTAATGTTGACAAAAGACATGATATAGAGTGATATGCACTCCTGTCATGGTTTTACCATTACTAAGGGAATAATCACGAGTATTTTGAGTTTTATCCATAATATTTAACAATAATATAGAATAATTTCATAAATGATAATTTTTTTTTACCCTTTTAAGACCCAATAAATTTTTCAAAAAAGTATAACTAGTATATATTTTAAACAGAATCATGAAACATAAATTTTCATATGATTATAACAGTCCAATCACATGCAAATTCTTACAATATTTTGGCTACAGGATCAGATTATATTTCAAATAGCAAAATTTCAGATTGTGTAAAAACAATCGTATCTTATAAAGTATAACAATTGAGATATGTCACAATAATGAGAACTTGTCTCACTTCTGTCCAATCACAGCAAAATATTTTCTTATTGTGTTTATATCAAATATTTATTAAGCATTCTTAAGAGTAAAAGGATTCCACACTGGGAATAAATGGAAGCACTGAGCACTGATCCTCTTCCACACTGTTTGATTTCAATCTCCTAAGAAAGTTTATAAAATTTTTAAGTACATTAAATTTTTTAAAATTTTATTATTAAAAGATAGATTAAAAGAATTACCTCTGCATGATTATTAATGCAACTTGGTGGTCTGCTTCTAAGTTTATCATTTTTCATTTTATAACATTTAGCTTCTGTGTCCTGTGCTTCTTTTCTTGGCTCTAAAGTCACAGTTGTTGTCTCGCAAGCACATGTACTACGTATTGCCAATAATATTAAGTTGGTTCGAGCTACAGATTGAGCAATGAACTCTCTGTAAAATTAAGTTAGTAATCAGAATATTTTAAATTAAATCTATAAATTTTGTTCTGTCAGGTTTTTCCATTTACTCTTTTTACTTTACTGGCTGTTATATATAACAGAGGGAAAGTATGGTGATCAGTCAAAACATGACCCTCAAGATTTTTATATTTTTGGACTTGGGACCTTGAAACAATTCTTTTTTCTGTATTTATGATGTTAGTGTGTGTCTGTACAGGACAAGTTTGTTCATCCTCTTTGAAACTCCTGTGCTTTTTGTAGAAAATTTCTGAATTTTATAGGGAGGTTTGTATATTAGGGGGATTGATGCTATTAAATTTTGGTGGTTAAAGGTTGAGAAGGTGAGGAGATAAAGTAGGGTCAGACTTAAATACAATTTTACTTGTTATTAGCATTTAAAATTTTTATAAAACTCATCCCTACCCTCAAAATTAAGTTTTTTTCCATTTTATAATAATTAAAAATATAAAAAGTTTTTTAATAAAATATCTAACAGATGGTGCCACCAAAATTTTAAATGTTGCTGGATTTTTTTTTACTGTTATTAATCTTACTTTTTGTAACACGTCAAATTAAAGAAATATAACATTTACAGATTATTGAATTCTTCAGATCTGTGGATAATGAATTTTACAATTAATCAAAAACATTAAAGAAGATATCAACATATCAGATCCTTATATTCTCATCATGCCTAAAGATTGGTGCCTTTGGGCATGATGAGAATATAAGAATCTGATCTGTACTGTATATACATTGACTTCTCTAGCACTCTATACTGTATTGTATACACTAGCTCATAGGAAGTATACAAACACCTATAAAATGAAAGTGTGCTTATAGTTATAACTCATTTCTTGCACGAAATAAAAAACATAATGACAGATGTGAAATATTTAGACTTTACACTATAAAAATATTTACATGTGCAAAAAATATTAATCAAAAACAGAAATATAATTTTACTAGCAGACCCCACCACGCGTTGTTGTGGCTCAAAATGTATCTATTATAAATTTATAACACTTCCCCCGTGGGGGGGAATTTTTCGAAAAATTTCTTCTTAGTGTACATTCTCTTGACGTACCATATTAAAATGCAATCAAAAACGCAAAAACCCGCGTCTAAAATAGTATAATAGAAGCCAAGTTCTTCATGGTAAGCCTTAATCCTGTCCATCTCCCAGGGGATTTCAACATGTATATTATACAGTCGACCCCCCTATAAGATATAGATACGTTCCAATTTATTAGGAATCCGATTTCTTACAAGTCGTTCCAATCACAGCCCGACACGTGTCAAGTTTACGGACTACGGCTGATTGAAAGGTTTTCTTCCATAAAATTAATCGATTCTACACTAATCCGACTCAACATTTCCAAAATACGTATATTTTTTCGTAGTTTTATAGGAATCGTAATTATAGGGNATTTAAAGTGGTAAGTATTTGGTTTTGGTTATCCACATTAAATGAGGACTCCCTGTATTATAATTATAATTAGTTAAATAATTATTTTGTTTACATTTTTTCAAGTTATATTTATTTTTAAAAGTTTTAAAGTATTTATTCTTTTCAATAGCAGTTTTCTATATGATTTCAGACTATGCAGAATTTGTATTTTTGGGACTTTTCATCTTTGAAATGTTTATGAAAGTATATGCCCTGGGGCCACGCCTCTATTTTGAATCGTCTTTCAACAGATTTGATTGTGTTGTGAGTATGAAAGTTATTTCTGTTTTATAAATTATAAGAAATCAGTAACATCAAGATAAAATATTTTTTTTATTGATTTACTGAAAAATTATATAGTAGCATAAAAATGGTCATAATTTTTTTCTTTGTTTTATATTTGGAATTTCAGACAAAATCTTTTTAGATTATAATTTTTTTTTTTTTTTGAAAATGTCATTCCTTTATTTTATTAACATCCTTTATTTAAGGATGTGAATAAAATTATCACATTATCATTTACATAATTCTAAATTTTCATTAGTGTTACACACTGTTATATTAAGTAAAAAAATTAAACTAGTTTTAAAGCATACACTTGTTTAATATTCTTTAGATGTTTAGTTTAAACAACTGTTAGAGTTTTTAAGACATTTTATATTTTATTTTATTAGTTGAACGAATTATTCATTCAAAGTTACATAAGATGCATTCATTTTCATTTTTATTAACATTTACAAAATGTGTTTGCAAAATCAAAAAATAAAAAATAACTTCAATATTGCATTCTGCAGGCAGACAAACAAAACTTGGAATTTTAATATTAAGAAAACTCAAAATTTATTTAGTATTGCAAATATTTTAGTAAATCTTTATGTTGATTTTATTGTTATACGTATTAAAAGTAAATATCAAAATAATTTCAATTTACTTTAACATTTTATTTTATTAAGAAAAGACAAAAATTAGCATTAATAAAATTGAATTGTTAAGAAGAGAAAAAACTTCCGGTTTTTTTGTTTGCTTTTCCGACATGCTATTATGGATTAAAAATTTGAAAGTTAAAAAAATTTGTAGGAAAATTTAATTTTGAATAAAAAAAACTCTAATATTACCTTTTTGACAGTAATATTGTACTCACGCCTTTCAAGAAACAAGAATTGCTAAAATTGCTAGTTAACAGCTTACCAGTCTGACTGTGTGACAGAAGCAAACACAAACAAGCACAGACGCGGCGCGTTCGTATTGCATGTTTGAACAACTCGGCGACAAGTGAGTAACTCGTCACAAAAAATTGTTTCGGTTTAGTATGTACTACCATTTTATTATAAATAATTTTATAACAATATATTGATGGGAGAAAGTCGATAAAATAAATTCAATTTTAAAAATGCTTGGCGGGCCACATAAACATGTTTAACGGGCCGCGTGTTGCTCATCCCTGCTGTAGACGATAGTAAACTCAACTTACTCGCCTAAACTCTCCTTAGCGTGGCGCTGGACGGCGGAAAGTAGATATATAATTATAATGTTACAATAAATTAAGTTAATATATAATTATATATACAGTACCTAATTCATATATAATACTGTACAGACGATAATAAACTCAATTTACCCGTCTAAACTCTCCGTAGCGTGGCGCTGGACGGCGGAAAGTAGTTCAGCTGCCCGATGACGAATTCTAGGAGTTTTTTTTACCAGGTTTGTACGGATACCGTCGCAATTTTTTCGCCGTCATATAGGAATCCGAACTATAGGAACCCGTGTTATAGGGGGGTCAACTGTATTTATTTATGTAGTCCTAAATATTATGACAAAATGAATGAATGAATGTCATTCCATATAATAATGAATAAGAAATGGATCAGTAATCTTCATAGACTCAGTCTCATAATATATTTAAAATATTTCTCAATATTCACTTTATTTAAATTTGTTGTAATTACATGGAATATCTTATAGTATATTTACTTATATTTGTATATATAATCTGAGCTGTTCTGTTACAAGTTTATAACATGATGATAAAACAGAATTAAAGGAGTTGGTTTGCTTTGATTTGCTTATGTATTAATTTTAAATTATATTTTTCATATTATTAAATGTATTAATTACTGAAAAAATTAATTTTTATTAATAATGCAATTCAATACTATTGATATACAAAGATGCTATTGACATACATGCAAAGATGAAATGCATTTGATTAACAGTCTCTTTTATAAATATTATAATAAACAAATTTCTATTATATAAACTACCAAATGTATTATTTAATATCACATTATTTTTCAATTTTTATTCATAACTGATTTAGTATAAATATATTTATCTGTAAAAGAAATTAATATTTAAATATACATGTAGTATATTTTGTGAATTTTCCAAATATGATAAAATACAAAATTTCTACTTCACTAGAGGAGTCTATAATACATTTTTTTACTATACATAGTTTTTTTTAATTGTAATTTGAATTTATTTACAACCAAGATTATATATTATTATTACCTTCTTTTTAATTTTTATTAATACATAAAAATTTTGTACGTAGATAAAGTCAATCTCATTTTTTTCAGTGTTATTTTATTGAATTATATTCATCATCATTACAGTTGTGAAAATATATTTTATTGAATTATATTCATCATCATTACAGTTGTGAAAATAATAAACAGTGTGAAAATAAAATTTATTTATTTTTTAACAAAATTAATTTAATCTGAAGCATAACCAATTTTTGTGAATGAATTGATATGTCACAAAACTTTGAATTCTGGACTCTATCATATATATCGTCTCCATCAAACATGATTTAACCAGTGTTTCTGAATTGAAGCATGGTGTCAATTCATAAGAAAAAGGCTGATATGGAACAGATACTCTTAATTCAGAGCACTTCATTTTTTCTATAAATAAAACAAAAATTATTTAAACTGATGACTGGTTGGATTAATGATATTATGAGCAATTTTGTGCATTTCTGTACATGTACAGTTCAAGAAGATAAGGATACAAACACACTGGTTTGTAATGTTGACAAAAGACATGATATAGAGTGATATGCACTCCTGTCATGGTTTTACCATTACTAAGGGAATAATCACGAGTATTTTGAGTTTTATCCATAATATTTAACAATAATATAGAATAATTTCATAAATGATAATTTTTTTTTACCCTTTTAAGACCCAATAAATTTTTCAAAAAAGTATAACTAGTATATATTTTAAACAGAATCATGAAACATAAATTTTCATATGATTATAACAGTCCAATCACATGCAAATTCTTACAATATTTTGGCTACAGGATCAGATTATATTTCAAATAGCAAAATTTCAGATTGTGTAAAAACAATCGTATCTTATAAAGTATAACAATTGAGATATGTCACAATAATGAGAACTTGTCTCACTTCTGTCCAATCACAGCAAAATATTTTCTTATTGTGTTTATATCAAATATTTATTAAGCATTCTTAAGAGTAAAAGGATTCCACACTGGGAATAAATGGAAGCACTGAGCACTGATCCTCTTCCACACTGTTTGATTTCAATCTCCTAAGAAAGTTTATAAAATTTTTAAGTACATTAAATTTTTTAAAATTTTATTATTAAAAGATAGATTAAAAGAATTACCTCTGCATGATTATTAATGCAACTTGGTGGTCTGCTTCTAAGTTTATCATTTTTCATTTTATAACATTTAGCTTCTGTGTCCTGTGCTTCTTTTCTTGGCTCTAAAGTCACAGTTGTTGTCTCGCAAGCACATGTACTACGTATTGCCAATAATATTAAGTTGGTTCGAGCTACAGATTGAGCAATGAACTCTCTGTAAAATTAAGTTAGTAATCAGAATATTTTAAATTAAATCTATAAATTTTGTTCTGTCAGGTTTTTCCATTTACTCTTTTTACTTTACTGGCTGTTATATATAACAGAGGGAAAGTATGGTGATCAGTCAAAACATGACCCTCAAGATTTTTATATTTTTGGACTTGGGACCTTGAAACAATTCTTTTTTCTGTATTTATGATGTTAGTGTGTGTCTGTACAGGACAAGTTTGTTCATCCTCTTTGAAACTCCTGTGCTTTTTGTAGAAAATTTCTGAATTTTATAGGGAGGTTTGTATATTAGGGGGATTGATGCTATTAAATTTTGGTGGTTAAAGGTTGAGAAGGTGAGGAGATAAAGTAGGGTCAGACTTAAATACAATTTTACTTGTTATTAGCATTTAAAATTTTTATAAAACTCATCCCTACCCTCAAAATTAAGTTTTTTTCCATTTTATAATAATTAAAAATATAAAAAGTTTTTTAATAAAATATCTAACAGATGGTGCCACCAAAATTTTAAATGTTGCTGGATTTTTTTTTACTGTTATTAATCTTACTTTTTGTAACACGTCAAATTAAAGAAATATAACATTTACAGATTATTGAATTCTTCAGATCTGTGGATAATGAATTTTACAATTAATCAAAAACATTAAAGAAGATATCAACATATCAGATCCTTANGGGGATTGATGCTATTAAATTTTGGTGGTTAAAGGGGTGGGGAGATAATGGAGGTCGTGTGTATCTCCAGTAGAGTCGGACTTAATGACGATTTTATTCGTTATTAGCATTTAAAATTTTTATAAAACCCATCCCTACCCTCAAAATTAAGCTTTTTGCCATTTTATAATAATTAAAAATATAAAAACTTTTAAATAAAATATCAAGGTACCACCAAAATTTTAAATGTTGCTGGAAAAGTTGAGTAACTCGTTGCTGGATTTTTTTTTACTGTTATTAATCTTACTTTTTGTAACACGTCAAATTAAAGAAATATAACATTTACAGATTATTGAATTCTTCAGATCTGTGGATAATGAATTTTACAATTAATCAAAAACATTAAAGAAGATATCAACATATCAGATCCTTATATTCTCATCATGCCTAAAGATTGGTGCCTTTGGGCATGATGAGAATATAAGAATCTGATCTGTACTGTATATACATTGACTTCTCTAGCACTCTATACTGTATTGTATACACTAGCTCATAGGAAGTATACAAACACCTATAAAATGAAAGTGTGCTTATAGTTATAACTCATTTCTTGCACGAAATAAAAAACATAATGACAGATGTGAAATATTTAGACTTTACACTATAAAAATATTTACATGTGCAAAAAATATTAATCAAAAACAGAAATATAATTTTACTAGCAGACCCCACCACGCGTTGTTGTGGCTCAAAATGTATCTATTATAAATTTATAACACTTCCCCCGTGGGGGGGAATTTTTCGAAAAATTTCTTCTTAGTGTACATTCTCTTGACGTACCATATTAAAATGCAATCAAAAACGCAAAAACCCGCGTCTAAAATAGTATAATAGAAGCCAAGTTCTTCATGGTAAGCCTTAATCCTGTCCATCTCCCAGGGGATTTCAACATGTATATTATACAGTCGACCCCCCTATAAGATATAGATACGTTCCAATTTATTAGGAATCCGATTTCTTACAAGTCGTTCCAATCACAGCCCGACACGTGTCAAGTTTACGGACTACGGCTGATTGAAAGGTTTTCTTCCATAAAATTAATCGATTCTACACTAATCCGACTCAACATTTCCAAAATACGTATATTTTTTCGTAGTTTTATAGGAATCGTAATTATAGGGNCAGATCATTTGCTTAAAAACATGATTACAACAATTTGCTTCAACAAATGAGTTAAAGTATTTGTTTCATACTTGAGTTGTTTTATTTTGTTATTGTGAACAATGAAAACAAACAAACTAACCATTGTTCTTAAAGGACTCATTATTAAGGAATAGCAAAAGGTAAACCTCGCAGAACAGTTTTACAATTCAAGATACCATTACGAAATTCCTTACGACAAATAGTATAATTAATAAGGCTTGACTGGACGTCCTGAAATATTTACCTCAAGACAGAAATGTGTCATTGGCAGGAAAGTGAAGAAAAATTCACAAATAATTGCTCCTAAGCTTATTGTTGAGGTTTCTGTAGAATGTGGAGTACATACATCTGCAGAAACTGTCAGAAAAATTTTAAAAGCAAGTAGCTATAAAGATTTTATGGCCATGAAAAAGGCAGCAGTAAAGTTTAAAGTTTGCAGAAGACTTTTATACAAAATCAGTTTTGAAGTCAGATGATCCAAATTCATTGTGTTTGGTTTGAATGATTGCCTGAAAGTATGAAGAAAAGCTGGAGAATCTTAAAAAATGAAAAATCTGATCCCTACAGTGAAATGTGGAGATGGTTTAGTGTTATTTTGAATTTTATGTATGCAAATAGTGCTGGAACTCAGTAATTTGTTCAGAGAATAATGAATCAATATGTGCATAAATAGATTTTAAATAACAATGTTCAAATCAGTAAGAAAATTAAAGTCTGGATAAGATTAAGATATCAAGGGTTTGTTTTCCAGCATGACAATACTTCAAAGCACACTTCAAAAATCAGTCAGTTTCTTGATATGCACTGTATAAAAGCACTTTCTTGTCCTCCACATTTGCCTGACCTCAATCCAATTGAGCATTTATAAGATCACATTGAATGAACAATCAGAACAGAATCAATAACAAACAAAACTGATCATAAAAACATCATCAGAGTTTTAAATTTAATAGATAAAGCAGTTATAAAATTTGGATGAATCAATGCCTAGTTGTTATCAGGGAAAAAGGAGGCCAAACTTATTCTTAAAAGTATAAAATATTTTGTTTTATCATTATTTATTTCTTCTGTTTGAATACTTTTGTTATGTAAAAATTTTCACAGTTTTAAATAAAAATATATTTCTCTTTTTGATGAATATTTTTGTACATGTAAATACTTTTTTCTAGTATAAAAAAGTCTAAAAATTTTACATCTATCATTATTTTTTTCCTATTTCATATAAGAAATGAGTGATAACTAAAAAACTTCCATTTTATAGGTGTCTGGATATTTTTGTGACCTAGTGTATTTGCCTAAAGCAGGGATGGCGAATCTTTTTGAGTCCAGGTGCCATAAAGTAAGCATACTTACTTTATGCCAAAGCTTTCTTCAATTAACCCCCAAGCATAGAAGTTCTTCAATTTGCTCATTAACTTTAGACTTCAGGGTCTCAAGAATTCTGTGCACATAAGGCTTTATTATCTGACCTAGAATCAGCCTGATTCTGTGTTTGCCCACCTATGCAACATGGACCTTCTCAGTGAACAGGGATGTTAAAAGTATAATTTAACTATAAAACTATTACAGGGATGTTAGAAAAACTTTAACTTATAATTTTTATTAAGTTAAATTAATAAAAACAACTAGCTAAATTGATTTCTTTTATCCTAAATTTGATTTAAAAATTCAAAATTTTTAAATAAGTAAAAACGTAAAAAAGACTTACTTATCACATCCAGATGAATGGCATTGTGACAATTTTCCTTTCAAAGAATTTGGAAACGTTTTTATTTCATATAAATCAATCACTTTTGTACATGGCTCTGCTTTAGTTTTGTTTGGTAATAATCTTTCATCTTCATAATCATAATCATTGTAATAATAATCTAAACCAGTAAATAAAATAAGTTAATTAATTATTGATGTTTTTCAAAAATAAGATATTGGTACATATTAATTGTAATGAATAATGACACCTTTAATTTAAATAACTTTTTAGTATTTAAATCCTATTTAAGAAAGATTTTTCCTGCTTTTGCTTAGGGTGCAATAAAAAAATCTCTCATTGATTTAAAAGATAAATTGAAACTGTGAAAGGTAAGAAAAATGATAGATTTTAAATAAATACATTTTGCTGAATTTTTTTGGTTAATTACAGTAATATAATTTTGTTTGTTGTTTAATTAATTAATGTAGATGTTAGGCTCAAAGACTGAAATTGCTCATTGAATGAAAAAATGACCACAAAGCGAAATTCACGTCGTGGCAGTTGTAAAAATAGCCACAATGTGTTGTGGTTCACTCAAAATGACCACAAAACGTTGTGTCTTTCATGATATTTGACCACTACGCATTGTGGTGATTAAGAAAAGCCATAACGCATTCTAAACATTAGCTGATGCAACCACAATATAGGATCATATGATGCACAGTGGTTTGTAACTTTAAAATATGGATGCTAGGCTCAAAACTTTTTTATTTACAATTTTTAATGCCAAAAACATTAGTTCTACAAGTTTTCCTAGAAATTTAATTTTCATACTTAAAAAAATTTCAAAGAAATAAAATATATGGAGAAAAAAATACACATTTGTTTCTTTTGTTTTGCTAAAAAGTGCTAAAGGTCTAACTACGTATACAGTGGGTGATCGGTGAACGGACATAATTCGTTCCAAGACTTTGTTTGCTATCTGAATTGTTCGTTAACCGATTATTATCGATTTACCAAGGTTTTTATGGGAATTTGATTAATTTGTTCTGGAGATCCCAAAAAATAAAAAATATATATACTTTCTTACTATGTTTATTTATATGTAATAATAAAAATGCATATATACACAGTCTTGCATTTTTATTAGTCATGTTTTTTTCATTTGTGGGGGTTAAAGAATCAGTCTAATGTCAATTGCTTTTCTCTCTTCCTCAGCATTATTCAGAAGTAATTAATAGCATTGTAATTGTAGAGATCCTCAAGGCTATTAACCTCAATCTGGTTTGGATGCTATCCAAAGACCGCTGTTTTGACATCCTCCCACTTCTTCTAAAGATCTTTAATAGCAGATATCGGCATTAATTCTCTTTTTTCAGAAGAAAACATATCTTACCGAGTTTCTTGGTGTTCTTCATTCAAGAGTTATTGGTGTTCTTCTGTCGTCATGTCCGTTTTTGGTTCCATTATGAGCTTTTCAATGTTCTTTATTTCTCAGATGTGATTTTTGTTACTCCTTTAGCTGCTTGAGTCTTCTTGATTATACAGTATCTTTCTTAGAAAAGATTGAACTGCAGCCTACTGTAGACCTGTTCAAGCCATACTGCCCAGCAACATCAAACATCTTCTGCCCACTCTCTACCTTTGCTATTATACCCTAACCTATTGAAAATAAAAACCGACGCAAAACTTAATGAGTGCCCACCTGACAGTCTTGCAAATACTATAAAAGAATTGTTTCTGTCAGAAAAATAAAAGGCTGGAATTACAAGGGAGAGTTTTAAAGTTTGAAGGAATATATCAGAATATTCCAATTAGTATATACCGGGTTGAGTGTCAATGTTGACGTCTGAAAAGTGTCGAAATTGTTGCCTGAAGACAAGGGAAGATTAATCGGTATTCATTACTTTACATCACTTCTTCTTGTGTTTGTTCTGTGAGGTATTTGTTGACCGAACATAAAAGTCTTTCACAAAAGTGTTCGTTATCTGATTTGTTCATTAACCAATCACCCACTGTACTTGCAGGTGCTTGATATACTATACACAATAAAATAAAAATCAGCTGCTAAAGTTAAAAACCACTGTGTGATGGATTTATTATGGTTAAAAGTCACCACACATTCTGAATGTTAACTAATAACAAGGTGATGATAAGAAAATAAAACTTTCTTTTTCATTATGATTTATTTATCTTCAATCTTATATAAGCAGGTAACAAAATTATTCACCACATAAAGAAATTTAACTTGGTTACTTTACAACATTTAATTATTCATGCATTTTATGTTCTTTGAGTGATAATTGCATTTTTATCAATACAGTATCTTTTACAGTGACACATTATAAACCCTTGCTTACTTCCAGATGTGGATGCTGAGCAAAGTGTTAATAAAGTTGATGGTATGTCCTGAATGCTAATAAAGTTACTGTAGAAATTGTAAATTCATTATGAACATAAAGTCGATTAAGAAGACTTTCCTTGTTTCCTAACTGATAGAGACCTGATGGATTAATGCTCATAACAACAGCTAAAACATTTCTGGGAGCTGCACATCCCCTAGCAACATTAGGCACCCTAACTAAAACAATTGAACCAATTTCAACCGCAGAAAATTATCCTAAATTGAGAGAACTTTCCGAGCTCAAGCTGAAGCTGGAATAAAAAAAAAATAAGATGAACGATTCTATGACGCAGATCCCTCTACTATTATTGTGAAATAATAATCAGAACAATTCTTACTGTTTTTGAAAATTTTAATAACTAAAATGTCTTAGGATTTTTAGGCTTTATCAGAGGTATTAATTTCCATCTGATATGGAAATTAATGGCTCAATGGCATGAAGGTTGAGAAAAGTGAAATCCTATTCAGGTGTAATATACAGTAATACCTCGGTTTTCAACCGTTGACTTTGGTTATCGTTGGTTTCAGATTTCGCCGATTGTTTTCAGATGGATTATCGACGAAAACTGAAGTATCACTATGTCCCCCCATGTACCTAGCATCAATCTGCATAATTTCTTTAGCTTCTGTTGTCCTATCCTAAAACCCTCCAGTTATAGAGGAAAACAGAGTGGTTTTAGGCTAAAACTTTTTCCAGTGAAATTTGTGGAGCAATGAGTAATAGCATCAGAACACAGGGTAGTTTTACCCTAGATTTATATCCTAAATATAAGACTACCCTAAAAACTGGTCAAGAATGAACACAATAGAAACTCTGCAAGTGTTTGCAATGCACCCGTTGACAAGTTACAACCTATCCTTTGTATCATGGTTGCATCAGCTAACGTTCAGAACGCGTTATGGCTTTCTTAATCACCACAATGCATAGTGGTCAAATATCATGAAAGCCATGACACGAATTTCACTTTGTGGTTGTTTTTTTTGCTCAATGAGCATTTCGGTCTTTGGGCCTAATATAGATATAGTTATTTTATAAAATAGCTTTTTATCCTGTTTTCAGTTTAATCATTATACATACTATACTGACTTACACTGGACAAAGCTAATTTGCCCATCAGAAGAATTGAACATACAGTACATGAACTCTTGGCTGCACACTTATAAGGTTATCAATTTACTGTTACCAACTCAAGGCAACCAACTGAAACTATACAGGGTTGCTCAGCATCCGACAATTTCTGAAACATTGTTTTAGACTTTAAGGCTTTGTATGCATCTGTTAAACTTGAGCTTTGTTTTTGCTGTTTGTGGGATTGGCTTATGTTGAGAGTTTCAAACAATGCATGCTATAAATAAATTCTTGAATTCTCCAAAACACTTTGTTACACCTCTCACTTTCAGTTGGATGGAGAAATATTCCTTCAAAAAAGAGGGGTACCTATGGGTAGTGTTCTGTCTGGAGAAATAGTTGAAATTGTGTTGTCTCTCTTAGGGCCATTGTCATTCCTAAATTTCTCTCCCATATTGAAATATATAAAAGATACATTGATGATGTATGCATCATCTGGTAAACTAAGCCTAATATATATAAAAGCCTATACAAGCCTATATAAAAAAAAAAGACTTTAGCATGAATGACAATCTGTATGGTCTCACCATTGAATTAGAGCAAATAAAGAAGCTCACTTTTTAGATATCAGCATCTCCTTTAATGGTAATGGATACAACACTAAAATCTACCATAAACCAAGCTTCAATCTCATAAACATATCAGCCAACTCCAATGATCCATACAACTACAATAAGATAGCCATTAGAGCACTTATTAGAGTTACAATGTATAAACTGTTTAGCAGTATAGCATGATTGCAGTGGTAAAATAGTACCTACATTAGCATGTACTATAGAAGAAAATCTTAAAAAGATATTGGCTAGGAATATAGCAACTGCAAACAAAAATTTAAAATCATAAACACATAGTAGTTGACTATGACTCAGATTGAGTACAACTTACAAGATCATAATGAAACAATTAAATATCAGTTTAGCCTATAAATGCAACCAAACTTTATACAAACTATTCAACAACAGTAAGGATAAGACTGAAGATAGCAAAACGCCTGGAATATATTCCACACCACTGTATGACAACAGATTCAATATAAATCTGTCGAGGTTGATCCCAACTTACCGATTAAAGTAAATCGACCGACATAACGTAAAAAACATGACACTTTTATTAACTAGCAGATTAAATTCTAACTCCATCTTACAATGTTTTTTTTAACGAGCGGTATCACAGTTCGTGGAACGTAGCGTAGGGTCGNAACCGCAGAAAATTATCCTAAATTGAGAGAACTTTCCGAGCTCAAGCTGAAGCTGGAATAAAAAAAAAATAAGATGAACGATTCTATGACGCAGATCCCTCTACTATTATTGTGAAATAATAATCAGAACAATTCTTACTGTTTTTGAAAATTTTAATAACTAAAATGTCTTAGGATTTTTAGGCTTTATCAGAGGTATTAATTTCCATCTGATATGGAAATTAATGGCTCAATGGCATGAAGGTTGAGAAAAGTGAAATCCTATTCAGGTGTAATATACAGTAATACCTCGGTTTTCAACCGTTGACTTTGGTTATCGTTGGTTTCAGATTTCGCCGATTGTTTTCAGATGGATTATCGACGAAAACTGAAGTATCACTATGTCCCCCCATGTACCTAGCATCAATCTGCATAATTTCTTTAGCTTCTGTTGTCCTATCCTAAAAC